TGAACCCTTGACAGCCGAGATCATTTATTTCAATTTCATTGCGTGAAAACATTTCATATGTTTTGCTGCTCCATGTCTGCTCCTCTGAAATTGCCAACAGAAACTTCCTGGACCTGCGTGGATGGTATAAAAATCGCCGGAAAGCGGTGGACGTATGAGAATGGCAATAGCAAGAAACTCCGCATTCTAGCCTTGCATGGCTGGATGGACAACTGCGCCTCTTTCGATGCATTATCCCAMAKCGTTATGGACAGGTTGATATCGGACGAGAATTTCGCCACAGATATTGACTTTATTGCCATTGACCTACCTGGCCACGGGCATTCGTCACACAAATCTCTAGACGGCCCCACATCGGTCCAGGCAGAATACTGTTATTACGTATTTGAAATTGTGCGTCAGTTGGAATGGAATCCTGAAGATTTGACGATCATCGGACATTCCATGGGTGGTTCGATAGCGCTCATGTACGCTGCTGCATTTCCCACAAAAAGGCTYTGTTTGTTGGACACGCTCGGCCCGATGCCCAAACCCCCCGAGACCATTTCCAAGAATTTACGGTCAAACTTTAAAATACGAGCCAGAGGGAAAATGCCKTCTTCCGTATACCCTGATTTTAAAACAGCCGTAGAAACACGTTGCAAAACACCTGGGTTGTTGTTTCCCGGAAAGCAATACATAAGCGAAGAGACAGCGAAAGCATTGGTCGAACGAGGATCTACCATAAATGAGAATGGTCAGCTGCAATTCCGACACGATCAGCGATTAAATTGGCCGAGTTTGCTGTACCTTTCTGTGACTCAGTTAGAGCAAATGTACAAAGACATTGCGAGCCAAAACACGTCAACCTGCTTAWTGACGGCAATTGATGGCATGCCATTTCCAAGCGACAAAATGATTCGGATCAAAACTCTTTTGAAGCCCGATATTTGTAAATCTTTGCCAGGCAGTCACCATTTTCATTCAGATCCAGACAGTGTTGGTGGAGTGGCGGATGAAATTGTTCCATGGTTGATGCAATAAGGTTTCGCAGTGATCAYGACATCAAGCAACAGTAATAATCGTTCAATGGCMCAGAACGAAAGATGCGTTGATCTCTACGACAATGCAGTACTTTTGTTCCGCGGTTTAATAAGATTTTGTGCTTTTATAAAAASATAATTCTAGATCTACCGAGTTTATTTGATTCGCTTGCTGCGCACCGCGATTCTTTGATTTGAGGATGTTTTGCTCGTGATACTATGTTTTCAATCCAAAACCTATTGTAGCTACAATGAAGTTACGAGAGTTCCATGGCGCTATACTGTTACTTCGATTGAACAAGGTCTTATTCGAAAAGTAAAAATAGCATCGGGTTATTGAGGTAATGAATTTACTTTACATCACATCATCCTCACCGTCATCGTCTTCTTCCTCTTGTGGCGGAAAGCTTCCGTCTTTCACATTTTCTAGTGTTCCCGGCAGGCCAAACATAATTATCCTGTCTTTTTCTCGCATTTGAATCAATTCAATATCCTGGGATGCCCCACTTTCGATGGCCAGATCTCGCAACGACTCATATGCGTTTTCTAGCGTCCCTGTGATTGTACCAGTCACAATAGTAGCATTGTATTTGACGCCAGCGAAATGTTTCGTGAGAAAGCGCAGAGGAAATCAGAAAGTGATTTTTGCGATGCATACGCCCAATTTAACAGTAGATTGAACTTTTTGTTCCTGCTAGCGAGTGAATGGCCAAGACARAAAATATTCTTCAACTTACCAAATGATTTCGTGTTCACTTTTACTTTTACCGCCGTATGATCGTTCAGAAGTTGCCGCAACGAATTTCCATGTTTATTCGTTGCTCCCTTGCCTCCCACCGAGATCAAAGGTTTTTTTACGTATCGCCATACTTCTTCCATCACGCTGTCCGGGATGTCCGACTCTGCTGGCGCTGCAGATGCCATACGTTGCAATCCGATTTGTTTGGKGACTCGAAACGTTCTGCTGCCGGTATGTTGGATTTCGAAACCGACGAATGCCGAAGCCGCCGACATTCCAAGGACGATCGTTGTGAAGGACAGAGCTCCTTTCATTTTTGGTCGGGTGAGGAAGCAAACACAAAATTCCTGGAGCGATATAGATATCGAGATGATTGTTTTATTTTTCTAGTTGTAATTACGAGTACGAGTACGAGTACGAGTACTTTATTGAGCACCGTTGTATTTTCTTTTTAATAAGTACTGTAATACACATCACATGATGCCGTTTGTACTACGTTCGAACGGTAAAAAAGAAAAGAAAAATCAAGTGACTGGCCAGAAACAGAAACAATACGGTAGGTGGATAAATATAAAAAGGTGGGATCAAGTCCCTTTTCGTGGCATTTACTTTAATGATTAATGATGTCACTACTAGTACTAGTAGTACTAGTACTAGTATTAGTATTAGTACTACTACTACTACGAGACACCACTAGAGGCAATAGTAGTAGTACTACTACTAGTAGCTAAACAGCAGCCACCACCACCACCACCACCACCAGCAAAACAACAATAACAACAACAGCAACAACAAGAACAAGAATAAGAGGAACAACAAGAATGAGAAGGGAAGCCTGCAGGAGCAAGAAAGAAGACACCAAACAAAGCATCAGTTTCTTGTTGTGGTAACAACAATCAAGAACAAGCAATGATAATAAGAGAATTGCTCTTCTTGTTCTTGCTTTTTGCTGTTGTTTAGTAGTAACTACTACTAGCAGTACTAGTACTATGTGCAGTACTTCTTGTACTATTTGTTCTTGTTCTTGTTGTTCTTGTTCTTGTTCTTGTTCTTGTTCTTGTT